GGCTTATGCCAACATGTTTGGGTGTCAAGTGGGCACACTTCCCATGAAATATCTGGGAGTCCCTGTTACTTACTCCACTCTCAAGAATGCGGATCTATATTTCCTTGACGGAAAAATGATCAAAAAACTTGATGCCTGGGTAGCATATGCGGCATCTTCTGGAGCTAGACTAACACTGTTAGGGTCTAGTTTGGATGGAATTCCCTCTTTCCTCATGTCAATGTTCCTCTTCAATAAAACCTTTATTGAGAAGATGGATAAACATCGTAGACGTTTCTTTTGGAGGAGGAAAAAAAAGAAACGTGGGTACCATATGGTTAAGTGGACGAGGATATGTCGATCAAAAAATATTGGGGGACTAGGGATTAAAGATCTTCATAAGCAAAATATTGCCCTACTCGCTAAGTGGTGGTGGAAATTAGAAACGAGTGATGGGCTATGGCAACGTATTGTAAGAGCTAGATACTTCAGGAACAAAACAGTGGCCACCTTTTGGAGCCGCTTTTCGGACTCTCCCTGCTGGAAAGCGATTATGAAGGTCAAGGACTCTTATATGGCAGGAAGAAAAGTTAAGATCGAAAGTGGAAACCTGGCTAGGGTTTGGTATGATCCATGGGTGGAAGATACTCTGCTGAAAGATCGCTTTCCTGATCTTTTTGGTATTTGCCAGGAACAGGAATGCACGGTTGCATCTTGGGCATCTAACAATTATGAACTTGGCTTCAGGCGGAGACGGGTGGGGGTGTTGGGTGAGCAGTGGGCTTGGATGGTTATGGAAGCTAAGAAACTGTCGTTGAGTGACTCCCCAGATAGAATCTTGTGGGCTTTTGGTAGTAAAGGGAAGTTTACTACTAAATCTTTATATGGATGGTTGGAAAGAAATCTTTCGGGTCCTAACTATAGGATGGTGTGGAAAGCACCCATCCCGCTGAAAATTAAGATTTTCCTTTGGCAGCTGTTTCAAAATGCAGTTCTCACTCGCGATAATATGCGCATTAGAAACTGGCCTGGGAATCCTGTGTGCTCATTCTGTACTGAAGTCGAAACAGCAAATCATCTGTTCTTTACCTGTTCGCTTGCTCGGTCAGTTTGGGGGGTGTTGGGCATGACGGCTGGGGCATCCTGTTGCCCTCGCTCTCTGTGGCAAAGCTTTGCTTGGCTTTATAAGTTCTTTCCGGATGGAAAACATCTTTACATGATGATTATTGCTGCAATATGCTGGGGGATTTGGACCCTCTGCAATAAAGTCACATTCGATAATCATGTTGTTCGTTCTCCTCTTGAGGCTGTTTTCACTGCATGCTCGTTTTTGATGTACTGGGCAGGTTTGCTAAAATAAGAAGAAAGGGCGAAGCTCCAGGCTGGCGTGAGGAGGCTGGCTCATGCGGCTGCTGCACTGGCGGACAGGTCCCTTCCTCGAGGCAGACCCCTGGGTGACAGAGAGGGGATCCAGATTGGTTAGCAGTGTTCAGCGCTCGGCTCTTTTGCTTGCCGCCTCCCACTGGGGTTTGATGCCCACTGGTTTTATGTCTTCTGGTTATGGTTCGTCTAGTCGCAGATGTCGTTTATCTTGCCTCATCCTGGGATTTCCTTCTGTGTTGTTTTGGGCTGCGGCTTGTGAGTGTCATCAGGTTTTCGTCCCATGGCGGGTGGTCCGTTCTAGGATCATCCTGTTGTGGGTTTCCTGTTGATGCGCCAACTCGCTCTCCCCTTTCAGTTTCATTAGCTCTCAAGGCTTTTGTGTTTTTCATCCTGCTAGTTGTAGTGGTTGGTTACTAAGAACATCTGGATACAGACTGATGTATTTCCGTTGATTGCGAAATTAATGGAAAGGGGTTGAGAGCCCGGTTGGAA